GGGGGGGGGGGGCGGACCTCCCCCCCCCCTACTTTTTGGCAAAAAATATATAAGGTCTGGAGATTTTTGTATGATTGGAAAGAAATGAAAGAGGGAAGGAGGCGAAGGATGGGAAAGAGAATGTTTATCTAGTCCCCACCGAGTTAAATTTTCTCGAAATTCACATTGGCGGATCTGGGGAGGGGGTAAAGGGTCCTGACCCATCCCTTGGCCAAAAAAAAAAAGGGGAAAAAAATTTAGACCTAACTTTTCAGGACCCGTGAGCTGATTTTTTATATTTTTTTATGTTACAATAAAGAAAATTAGAATTTTGAAGAACGTCATTAAAACACACTTGTGGTGTCGGGAAAGCTTATTTCCTGCCATCTAGGAATAACAATTTTCCCAGGGGATAATCCCCGGACCACCCTTTCTTTTTGAGATTTATTGATTCATTAAAAAAAGAATAGGCGTGCAACTACTCATTTATTTATGTATGCATACACAAATAAAATAAGACATGAGAAAAAATTGCTTGACCGTTTTCAAGAGGGAAAAACCTTAAATTTTGAAGAACTTAAAAAGTCATTTAAAAGACATTTCAGAAGTCAGGAAAGCTCATTTTCCGCATTCTAGAAATCGAAATATTCCGGAATAACCCGGACACCCTTTTCCTCGGAATTCATTGATTCATTAAATCATTTTCAAGAGGGGAAAAAATTGAATTTTGAAGAAATAAAAAGTAATTAAAAGACACCTCAGAAGTCGGGAAAGCTTATGTCCCACCTTTTAAGAATCAACATTTTCCCGGGGGAGAACCCTCGGACCCCCTTTCTTTTTTGAAATTTATTGATTCATGGGAAAAAAATCGTATGCAATTACTCAATTTGTTTATGTATGTAAACACACATAAAATAAGATATGAGAAAAATTTACCTGACCGTTTTCAAGAGGGGAAAACCTTGAATTTTCACAGCTGCGAGTAGATGAATTATTATTTTAATGAAACATTTTATAGTTGCATATTGCGGCTACCCTGAATATTAAAATTTCTTTTAAAAGACATGCACCTATTTTTTTTTTTTTTTATTTGTTACTGATATTTGTTACTGAAAACTACAATGCTAGATAGTCAAAATTGACTTAATGCAAACTCATATTCCTCAAATGTGCTGGGCTTCAAGGGGGCTTCGCCCCCTTCCACCCCCACCAGGGGCTCTGCCCCTGGGCCTCACCGGGGGCCCTGAGCGGCCCCCTGGCCCCAAGCCAAAGGCTGCTCGCTGTGCTCGTTGGCTGCGCCCCCCCCCCCTCCATTTTCTGGCAGGCTGGATCCGCCCCTGTAAATTATATGAAACGTTTCTGCGTTGCATAGATTGCATCGCTTTGTTTTGGGTGAGTACGATGAGGCTCTATAAATAATGGACCATTTGATATTGTGTTTTGCTGTCTTTTAGTTTCCATATGAACTTTGAAAGTTCTGTGCTGTTTCTGTGTTTTGGTGCATTGAATGTGTGCTTATGATTTGTATATCGGGTTTTTAAATGCGGTATCTGTGAGCCCGTTGTAATGCTTCAATTCTTCGTTTGTTGTGATTTTGTAGCTTTATAAATAATTGAGGAGGTGAGGCAGTTTCCCTAGAGTGGGCAATCTTCTTTAATCCGACAGTTGCATTGTTTGGTCGGTTCTTGTTGTTTGGTGTGGAGAAGGTGGTTGTTGTGGGCTTTGATGATGCTGCCCCTGTTTCTTGTGCAACTGTAGCTAACTTTTACGTTGTTTTTGTTGAACAATTTGTGCAAGGTACTGTCTTTGGGGAAGTGCTTTTTAAAAGTTCCGCCGATGTTTGTTTTGACGTTTTTGCTGAAAGGTGGGTTGT